AGAATGAGCATCAAACATAGGATTAAAAGTTTCAGGGACTAACCAGAGGAAACACTTGGGAAAAAGTTGAAAGGACAGACAAGGCACAGGTACTCACTGTGTTGTCCCCAACCAGTACCTTAGTATCACTTGGAAACCTAACAGAAGTGAAGATTCTCTGGGCTCATCCAGACCGCCTGAATTAGGAACTCTAGGGGTGAGGTCCAGCAATAGGTGCTGTATGGAAGCCTTCAGGGTGATTCCAATACAGCTAATTTTTAAAAAATACTACTCTGGAAGGCACAAAACTTAGCACCTCAGCATTCAGAAGGTCTGGTAACCTGATAGGAGGCTCTGAAAGTCAACTGAGGTTTTCTACACTGTCATTTAGTGATGGACTCACATTTAATCAAGACAGTGGCTATCTCACAAGGTCACTATCAATATTTAACCAAAAGTGGGTACACTAACATATTTACATCATGGTCCTCTGTGGCATGACCAATCTGCTCAAGCAAACAGCAAAAATTTTCCAAATCTAAGTATGATTGACAATAAATAAAAATTTTATCCACCTGTTAACATGCTTACTGTAGCCATATACATTTGTGTTTATATTATTTTTTTAAACTTATATTCTCAGCACACCCCCGGGCGAAGGGCACAACTGCAACTTGAAAAACCATGTAACCTAAGTATTTATGCCCTCATGTTAATCTGAAATTTTAAAAAAACTTATATTCTGACATTTCTGTTTTTAATCATTTATACATATATATACACACTAGGTTCTAAAACCGTCAAACTGTTTCCATCCCAGAAATAAACACTTTAGGGGTACACACAGAATTATAATCTTTGCCTAGTCAGCTTCAAGTTTAGCGGGTATTTGTCAAGTTTACCTGCACAGCACTCGATTCTGTGGCAGTAAAACAGGATCCCTGAGCCCAGGCGGGGCTGGTTCAGGAGGGCACGGCCCAACTTTCAAGCAGCCAACTTATTCACAACTGGAGAGGATTTCAAGTTCCTAAGATTTCTTTTTCACTGGTTTGTGTTTCAGCAAAGTTAGGCCATTACTCAGTTGTGGCCATGGAAAGAAACTGCTTAACAACACCGCTATGGTCCTACAAAGAGGGAAGAGAAAGCTACAGAGATAACAGAAGAATTGAGATTCCCACTTCCTTTACTTGAACTCTTATTGTGGACTAGGGTGCTCACATCCACACTCTCCATCTCACACAAACCGCCTTTTAGGAAGGCTGGGATCAAAAAGAAAATTGGGGGTAACCCTAAGCTCCAAGCTAGAGGTCAAACATAGACTTTCTGCCACCTTTGTTTCCAACGTGAACAAGCAGGGACATAGCAATAACTATAAAAACTCTCGTTACTTTTATAAAAGGGAATCTAAAAACAAGATTGTCAAGCCCCCACACGAATACTTTGTAAACATTCTAGAATGGGTGGTGCCTGTTGCTCAGTGGGTAGGGTGCCAGCCCCATATACTGAGGTGGCAGGTTCGAACCCAGCCCCGGCCAAACTGCAACAAAAAAATAGCCGGGCATTGTGGCGGGTGCCTGTAGTCCCAGCTACTCTGGAGGCTAAGGCAAGATAATCACCTAAGCCCAAGAGCTGGAGGTTGCTGTGAGCTATGATGCCACAGTACTCTACTGAGGGCAACAAAGTGAGACTCTGTCTCAAAAAAAGAACACTCTAGAATGGTCTGCTTTCTGATTATGCACTACTTGAACATGGTCCAGTGACTATACTAAAATGCACAAATTCAAATATGGTTCATTTTATATTGTCAGTAGGATCTTTGGAGATTTGAAAAAATTATTCATAAGAAAAAATATAGAATCTAGATGTCCTGGGTCATATAACGCCTTTAGAGTATGTAGCCTTTAGATGATGCCTTCTGCCTAGAGTAACGGCTCACTATAACGTTAATGCTAAGAATAACTGCAGAGGTAGCTACAATCCTGGTAGATCCTTCCTCTTAGGTTAACATTTCTACATAAGCACCACACATTTTTTAGTGTAGGCAACATATGTGAATTGATTGCCAACGCATATTGGGATACTCTATAGAGCATCAATACATTCAGCCTTCAGCTACTCTGTCAACTTTTTATTTTCATATGTTTTAAAGGATAGAGTGTAAATTCTCAAGTATGGAAACCTATATCCATTAGAAAATAAATAAATACCTCACTTCCCTTCTTCCCATTCTCCTTCCTTTTCTCCTTGTCTCCCTCTAATAAACAGAGTAAGGCACTCTCCTTGCTCACTCCACTATTATGACTGTAAACTTATCCTTTCTGAATAAAACAAAAAGCATCAAAGGAAAGATTCAGAAATGCAGGCTGTTTCTGATGCAAAGATATTTTCAAAGTGAACCAAAGATGGTCATGGGACTCCCTGGGAAATGTTATTGTTTATATTAATAAATATAAATATATTAATATTTATAATATAAAATATTAATATTTATAACATAATATCAATATACTTAATAAAAATCAACATTTATAATATATAATATTTATAATAATATTAAAAATATATTATTTATATTAACATAAATTCCGGTCTATTGGCTTCATCTGATAAAATCAAATTTCTTGTTCACCCCAGATACTGTTATCCAGATTGGGAAACCTGCTGACATTTTTTAGAGAACTAAGGTCTTGATCTTCAAGAGTGATAATATAGTACATATACTATTTACTCCATAACATTTGAAAAAAAAAGTACTCTTTATAGTGATAAAAACAGAACAACATCATAAAGTTGCCCCCTGCTGCTCACTCCTAGTGGCACATATCATTTAACTGATGTAATTAATTACTTAACCAATTACACTTTTCTCTGGGACCTTAGACCAAAAAAAACCTTACCTAGTTAATAATAATAATGATAATCCACTATTTTCAGAAAATGGAAAGTGCTTCCTAGGCCTAACTGAATTACTAAACCTAATGATTCTCAATTCAGCCTCGTGGGGTGCTAATGACATCAAAATGCCATAAAAGTGATAAAGAAAAAAACCCAGAGAACCAATTACCTCCATAAGGACATGCCAGACAGACAAGGTTTCAAAAGTAGAGTGTAAATTATTAAGTACAGAAACCTATAGCCATGAGTTACTTCTTCATTCTAAGCCTAATCCCATAAAGCAGACATTTGGGATTGCCCTGAAGAGTGACAGTGCCCTGACTGACAAAGTTTAACCGTGGGAGGCTCCTGCCTCTTAAGATGAAGATTCGTATAAGAGCTACCCACGTGCAGAAGATGTATGAAAACTCACCAACTGAACAAAGAAGTTGATAAAAACAGAACAGCTTCATGTCTCCTCTGTAGGAGACTGGGAGCTGACTTATTCTGCTGGCCTAGATCCAACACTTCTCTAGGAATTATCTTCTCTACCTTCATTTATCCAAAGCTCTCTACAATATTCGGTAATATGGACACAGTTGACTTTTCTGTTCCTGTTTTGTTCTACAACTCCCGTGTCTTTTCTCATTTTCAGATGGAAGATCACCACTATCATTCTCCGTAAAGGGAATATCCACAGCGCACGTTAACCCCCAGCCATGGGATGAAATTGGAGACATTCAAGAATGCGTTTTGGTGGAGACTGGTCTACCCGGCTCTAAACCTCCTGGATCTCATATTCCCTCTTGGTGAGGAAGAGAAATATGGATAGTATGTCTACAGCAGGAACCCTGATACACACACAAAAGAAAGAAACTGCATAGAGGAGCAAAGGGAGGGGGATAGAACCTGTGACCATTGTCCACGATCGGCTGTCATCCCTGAGGCTACAATTTCCTCTGTGGACACTGGTAGCTCCAATGACAGCAGATAACCCATATATTTATCTGGTCCCCAGGTTGAAACCCCATTTTCCAACATCTTTCGGGCTTGCCTTCCTTCCACCCCGCCTGTACAATCTCTAGATTTGAGGCATCTAGCCTCAGGGAACCCTGCTCCAACCTTCCCCTCCCTGATTCCCAGGCATGCTCTCTAAGAAGATAAGTTTTGGCAAGGGACTTGATGTTTCATTGTTTATTGGTGAACATATCATCATTAAGAGTTTTTGGAAAACTCACCAAATTCAGTGAATACAGTTTCTTTATAATCTATCTAGAATTATTCCTAATAAAATAATAAACATAAAACAACAAAGATGTATTCTAGCCAACTATCCAAGCCTTAGAGATCAAAACAGATAATACCAAAAATACAGCAGAACCTCTGTAAGTTGACCACTCAAGGAACTCTAACAAACTGGTCAACATACGCAGGTGGTCAACATAAAGAAGTAGGCCAGGTATACATTGGATACATGTGGCACATGCCCCATCTGTGAAAATCAGGTCCACTTAAGGAGATGGTCAATGTAGGGCGGTGGTCAATCATGGAAGTTCTACTAAAGTTTCTTTATCCATGTGTGTATTAAACACATAGCAGTCCTCTGAAGGAGAAAAGCATCACAAATTATGTTTCTCAACCTTTTTTCATTATCACCTCCCCTAAGGAGTCTTTTTAGATATTTTTTCTAATTACAGCCCACCATAAAATTTTAATACCACAGACACCCTGGATTATCTATGTATCAAAAGTGCATTTAGTTATAGTTTATTTATTCATTAAAAGAGTAAGCTTTTTTTCACACAGCAAAACCCAATTTTAATACCCTTAGGGGAGATTTAACCCTGTTAAGAATGCATGATCTTGAAGCATGCAACAATTGAGGTCATTTTTCCCCCTCCTGCTTCTCTAACATTTAGTAGAAGAGAAGTCATCAGAAACATCATCTTTCCAATAGACTCAGGGTCTCTTCCTGCAGTGCTTCTATCCCTCATCTTCCACAAGAAGTTCTACAGAATTAGCAAGTGCTACCCTCAAGCTAATGCCAATCCCATCTGTTCTTTCTTCAGTCTTAACGCCATTTTATTTATACACCAAAACACAGTTGAACCACATCCCACTCCAGAAACGACATAAATGGTACTCACTTCTTGCCGTTTGAAGTTCTGGACGTATTCTTCGAACTGTTCATCTTTTGTCTCATCAGCTTTCCCCAGCTTCTGGAGGACCTAATTTGTGAATAAAACAAAATGGCTTGATTTAATAATGTTTTCAAAGGAAGATGTGTCTTTTCAGCTAAAGAGCACAGCAAGGCTGTTGCTCTTAAGGAGTGTGAGGAAACTCCACTGTCAGCACTACTGCTTTTTCCATTCTGGAAGCATTCTCAACTTGGTGGCTTTGGAGTTGAACAGACCTGTAATTTAATCACAGTTCCACCACTCACAGGCCATGTGGGTTTGAGAAGTGTTTTGCAGCATTGCATTTATTTATTTACATGCCTGTTTCCTCCAGTAAGCTGTGCATGACTTAAAGACAGAAGTTGTGCCCTATTTGTCTGTATCCAACACATCTGGTACAAGTCTTAATGCATAATCAGTACTCAATTGTGTCTTCAGCCATGAACCAAAGCCATTTGACTAAAGTATTAATACACTTCACAGGGACAGAATTACTGAAGCCAGGCAAGTTCTCCTCACCATCTTTCTGTAACTCTCTGCAATTCAACACTCTAAGAGGCCATGGGATGCACAAGGCCCCAGGTTGAACACAGGTCATCCAAACTGCAAAGATGAATAAAAAAAGACTCCGACATGTAATTCTGAAAAACATATATCTAGTGGAATAGACAAGGCAGGTTCATAAATAACAATTCATGTTATTTGATTTGTTATTTGACAATGCTAATTAAGTTATTTGTTATTTGACAATGCTAATAAGACAATGCTAATTAAGAGATCTGAGGGGGTTGCAAAGAGTTATTAGCAATATCCCTTAGACTCTAATGCTTAGAGCCAAAGTCTTCTGGGAGTGCTCTGTGGAGGTTATTTAAATTGTGCTATTAGAAATTCCAATAGAGGAGGGAGGGTAATCGGTGGGACCTCGCCTACTGTGCGTATTGCAAACGTACATGTCAAATATATTAATAGTAGAGTATAAATGTCTAAACACAACAATTAAATAAGTTAGGTGAATGCCATGTTAATTAGTTTAATGTAAATGTTCCAAATTGTATATAAAATCAGCACATTGTACCCCATAAATGCAGTAATGTACACAGTTATGATCTAATAATAATAAAATAAATTCCAATAGACAGGCGTGTGACACAGTGCCTTCCAGCCAAGGAAGCAGCCCTAAGCAAAGATCCTTAGAAAAAGCCTTTTGTATTATGGGACTAGGGGTGAATACAGGAGTCCCCAAGTTACAAACATCCAACTTGCATAAAACTTGCACTTACAAACAGAGGAGGCTACTACAGGAAGTCCCCAAGTTATAAACATTTGGCTGATATAACCTGCAATTACCAATGGAGGCTATTACTGCTAATAGGTAAAGGTGCCTGCTCCAACTTACATACAGTTCAACTTAAGAACAAAGCTACAGAACCCATCTTGATCATAACTCAAGGAATGCCTGTCATTCTGTTTGTTTAGACCTAGAGCATAGTACAAGGGACCAGGACAGGCAGTTGCAGAAAGTCACTTTGGGACAGAGCACAAGACTCCTGACAGCCATGTTGAGGTTTATTGCTCAATATTCCCATATCTTGTATCCAAACACCAACTTATTCAAGAATGTGAAAACTCCATAAACACTGCCTTCTAGGAATACACACACCCTATGACGTTACCAAAAATCTTTTTGTGAAACATGAACATTTGGGCATTAAAATATATAATCATACAAATCACTTTTTATGAGTAGATTTTGTATTGGATAATGCAAATTTGTTTCTCAAAATCAAAGCTATAAACTTGTGCAAACTGATACATTTTAACAAGACCCTCCTTTCCATAATTTTTTTAAATTAAATCATAGCTGTGTACATTAATGCAATCATGAGGCACAATGTGCTGGTTTTATATACAATTTGAAATATTTTCACCAAACTGGTTAACACAGCCTTCATGGCATTTTCTTAGTTATTGTGTTAATCTTTTCACAATTTTTAAAAAATTGACATATAAAATTATATATGTGCCGTATGATGTTTTGAAGTACAAATATATTGTAAATGATTAAATCTAGCTAATTAACAAAGGCACAAACTCACATAATTACCATTTTTATGGCAAGAACACTTAATATCCACTGTCTCAATATCTTTCAAGAATACAGTGTGTCATCATTAATATTGTTCCCATGCTGTATAATAGATTTCTTAAAATTACTCTTCCTATCTAACTGTAAATACGTATCCTTTGACCAATAAAGACTTTTAATGCAAAGACAGAGTGAGAAAAATCACTTAAAACTTGAAATAACGTGAACGAGATCCCAGGTTATTCCTCAGGGAAATGCTTAGCTTGCACTTTTGATGTGCTTCCTCTTGACAGGGCTAGTTTACAACTCTATACAGACAGATATTAACAGGAAGATTTCTTTCTGGCAAAGTTGCAAATAGTTTCTCTCCAATTATCTAATGGAAAGGAGAACCCCAAAGTTGAGAAGTTATGGCCCTGTAGGCCAGGGCCAGGCCCTGTATGGCCCTGTAACCAGTTTTGTGTCTAGCCCAGCAATCCTATTCTAAAATTCCTTGATTAAATAGCCTATACATACCAGTTTAATATCTTACAAGATGCTTCAATAATTAATGAGTTGAACAAAATCTTTGACATGTTTATTTTATATTTATATGAAAATCTTTTTAACTTTTGAAAAAAGTACTCTTTGAGCAGTGCCTGTGGCTCAGTGGATAGGGCACGAGCCCCATATACTGAGGGTGGCAGGTTCAAACCCAGCCCCAGCCAAACTGCAACAAAAAAAAAAAAAA